GATTTCATCGTCGCCCACTTTTATCCGGCCTGGTGCAGTGTTATTTGACCGCATGAATTTTGTTTTCTTGCGGTTCAGTCTTAGTCCAACAGCTTTACTTTTAATGGTGAGCTCGGTCAACATGGCCTGTAATTCATTTGTGGTCTCGGCGATGAGCACGATGTCGTCTGTAAATCGAAGATGATTCAGTGTTTCTCCATTGATATTAACACCACCGTCCCAGTTGGTTTTTCTAATGACCATTTCGAGACAAGCCGTGAAGAGTTTAGAAGAAACAGTATCTCCTTACTTCACACCTTTTTCAACCAGGATAGTTATCGGAGTAGATAGTAGGTTTATGTCGGTGGTGCAATGCGAGTTTGCCTATTTGAGTAATTTGATGTATTGACTCTCGATTCCCTGTTCCTCGAGAGATTTTAGCACTGCATGTATCTCGACGCTATCAAAAGTCTTTTCATAATCAACGAATGCAATACAAAGAGGTAATTTATATTCTCTTGCCCGTTCTATTAGCTGAGTCAGGGCAAATATATGATCCATCGTGCTGTAGTTTCTTCGAAACCCTGCTTGTTCCCTTGGCTGTTGGTAGTCCAGATCATTAGATTTATATATGTATAACATTTATCTTGTAATTGTAGAGAAGTTTCGGATAAGGAATCATTAAATGATTATTATGCAACACAGTATTCAACATATAATAACGGCAATAATACGAGTTCAAATCAGTTTATTAATCAGTATGGTGATAACAGTTTTATGCAGTACAATTCACGGCAAGGTTCTTTTTTCAGTTCATTAATTTGTAATTTGAAATGTTGTTGACAAAGTAATATGCATGATTAAGAGGGGTTCACAAATGGATCATTGGGTGGTTTATCGCATGAAATGATTGCGTCCGATCCAATGCTCCAAGCAGCGAAACAAATTGGTGGTCAGTTCGCGCAACAACAGAAAGAAAGAGTATTGTTTTATAAAGTTTTTATTAAACATATCCTGTCACTGGTCATGATCGTTCTTTGGTCATGTTGTATTTCACTTTCAGTAACTGTATTGTTTGTAATCAGTTCAATTTCAGTTCAGCAAGTATATATCTACAGTAAAGTTGAAATATTATTTCGCTGTTGATAATGCATATGTTGGTAGAAAGTTGTCAATTTTGTTGTTTCCATTCTTTCACAAGGTTATTATTCACTTACTGTTATAGCAGGAGCGCGTGTATTACATAATATTACTGGATGCATTGTTATTATAATATCATTTGCATGTAATAATGATAATCGTAGGAGTGGAGTGTTAAATACGACAGTAGTGATAGAGCAGTTCCCCCGCGTTATGATGTGAACGCGCCAGACCTTTATATCCCTGTTATGGCTTTCATTAGCTACATTCTTCTATGTGGATTTGTGCTTGGAATACAACAGAGGTACTGTTGTAACATTATATTATAAGCAGTTTCTGATAACTGATTAGAGAATAATCTAGTGGATGGATTGGATCAGTTGCGTTTCAGATTCAGTCCGGAGCAGTTAGGTATCATAACGACCAATGCAGTGATATATTTGGTTATTGAAAACGTCATCATATTCATCACGAAATACTTAATGAACATCTCGCATGCATTGACATTGTGTCATTCGCTCGCTTATAGTACTTACAAATATTTCGGGTTTTTTCATCTTTCTTTATTTATTCATTTATTTGTTTAGTCATGCATTCATGTAAATTCGTTTTACTTTATTTAATCATAATTTCAATATGGCTGGTCAGCTTTATCTCGTTTTTGGTTTGCTGTACTCATATACTTCAATTCGCTGAATACTTTCATATTCATTAACCATGTATAGACAGTAGTCAGTATATATCCGTTATTTAAGGATGGACATTAATCTAATTGCATTCCTTGTCGGAGGAAAATTGGCTTATTACACTGCATTGTCATACACTTCAATTGCTATTGTTTTCTTCTTGGTTCGTTTGATTTAATATAATGATTTTCAAAAATAAACTTAGCTGAGTAGAACTGATACTGTTCAACAGAAGCAAGATATGAACATAATTCGGTAATTGTAGTTGAAGTGGTTCGTATTGGATGTTATTGATAATTTGTTATTGTTATTACAGTTGAGAACAGTAAAGAATTTCGTACTCGACATATACAATAATTATGGCGATGGCAGAAAGCGAAAGATTTATTTGTTAATCTTTATTTCATTTACACAGCCGTTCATTATGTGGTGGTTGACCAGGTATGATTTGTTACTGATTTGATTGTTTAACACGATACGTGCGCTGTGCTGTGCTTGCATATGAATGCATTGAAGTGGAGTGACAAGGGCGGTAGCGAATGACAAGCTGGAACTTGCTGGGTTGGCGTTATCAGGCGTTGGGGTCAGCTTGAAGCCTAAGGCAGAATTACCGTTGACGGATGATGGCGAGGTCGATTACGAGGCACTCTTGAAGATGCCGTGAATAATTTCTTTGTTTCACTCATTGATGTTTCGTTATTATTGTTGCTCTGCTTGAATTTCAAACACTTTTAGTCGATATATTTATGTCTATGATTAATCGATTATCTCGTCCAGTTTGTTCATCACTAAGTCTTAAAGATTCAAGAATTTTCTATCATTTGTTTCGTA